TTTCAGTACTTGAAAGTGCCATGTGGCCAGGCGCAGTGTCTCACACCTGTAATCCCAGAACTTTGGGAGGCCAAGATGGGTGGATCACAAGCTCAGGAGTTCGAGACCAGCCTGGCCAATATGGTAAAACCCCATCTCTAATAAAAATACAAAAGTTAGCCAGGCATGGTGGTGCATGTCTGTAGTCCCAGCTACTTGGGAGTTTGAGGCAGAATTGCTTGAACCCTGGAAGTGGAGGTTGCAGTGAGCTGAGACGATGCCACTGCACTCCAGCCTGGGTTGCAGAGTGAGACTCCATCTCAAAAAAGAAAAATAAAAAGAAAGTGCCATGCAGATGTGAGATGCTATTAGTATTTTGTAAAAAGTCGTTTCTTCAAAGATAAGACAATTCATTAAGAAAAAAGTCAAATGAAAGCAAAGTAATAAATAAAATTACCTTAAGAACTTTTGAGAGAATTCTGGTTTTGTAGATGGAAATTTGTTTTTGAGTTTAATGAATATACATACATTTACTCCATTAAGTTGTTATTTTATGTTTCAAAAAGATTCAAAAATTTTAATTGCAAAAAGTCTTTGCCTTGCTTTAAAAGCAAGTTTAACTTCAAGAACAATACGCCTATTCATACCCAAACCATTTCAAAGCAGTAACAGCCTTAAGAGTCTATTAATGTAAAGGGAAGTGTTAAGTCTTAAAATCAAAATGAATTGAACAGCTGACTCCAAGTCAGCTAGTTTATATTCTAAGAAAATGAAAATGAAGAACAATGATTTAGTGACTCCAGAAGACTCAAGCAGATATTATCAGGAGAAGGCCAATTATTGTAACTCTTTTAGCCAATATTAACTTCAGAATGTGTCAAGTTCTCCATCTTGGAAGAACTGTGTTGACACCAGCAGACAAAAGAAGTTCCTTCTCCCATTAACAAACCTTCTATATTAGACCAGAGGAGGAAATATTTAGTTGGCATTATTCTAAAAATAATCAGACAACTCAACAAATACATATTTTAAAATGATTTTGTATTAAAATAGAACTGGTTTTACTTAATTGGTTGTAATTTAAAGTTCAAAATTTTAAAAATATATTTGTTGTAATCATTTCATCAGGTTCTGTGTTATCTCTTTTCAATTTTCCTTGAAACAGTTGCTCATTATGATATGTAAATTCTTACATTTGAAAATTAGTACTGATTTTTCAATATAAAAATCCTATTGAAACAGCTTGAGATCTTAGCAGAGTCTTCTTACTTTTCATAATATATTTTATTATACATATTATATATATAAATACATAATAAAAGTAATATATATATTATTTTTTGATTTCTTTGAAACAGGGTCTTGCTCCGTTGCCCAGGCTGGAGTGCAGTGGCACAATCTTGGCTCACTGCAGCCTCTGCTTGCCGGGTTCAAGTGATTCTTCTGCCATAGCCTCCCAAGTAGCTGGGATTATAGGTATGCACCATCATGCCTGTTTAATTTTTGCATTTTTAGTAGAGTCAGCGTTCCCATGTAGGCCAGGCTAGTGTTGAACTCCTGACCTCAAGTGATCTACTTGCCTCAGCCTCCCAAAGTGCTAGGATTATAGATGTGAGCCACTGTACCCAGCCTTGCATTATATATTATTATAATAGTCTGTACCAGACAAAAGCATGTGTAGAATTTTGGCATTCATGTTGAAATTATGGCCACAGATTTCTTAGGTACATGGAAAGATTGCCTTATATTCTAGTTTTAGGTTTCAGCAATTTAACCACTGACCATTTTGTTGAAATCATATAGTGCTGTAGGTAGTAAGATAATGAGATGCTGCTTAAAAGGCCTGAAATACTTGGCATTGTGTAATGGGAATGCATATACTACATTGGAGGCTAATTCCAAATCTGGGGGAAGGATTAATAAAATGTTTCTCTTGTCAACTCAAAAATGATGAGGTTTCTAATTATGGAAAGGTGAATTTTGTTTTCTATAAAGAATTTCAGCTCTCAGGTGGCCACTCTGACAGGGTCGGAAGTGTAGCCTCCTGCCAGAAGCCAGAAACAAGCACGTGGAGGGAGGGAAGAATAAGACAGGAATTTATGCTGAATGGGGTGGTTGAATATACGGTTTTGTTTGTTTGTTTGTTTGTTTGTTTAGATGGAGTCTCGCTCTGTCACCCAGGCTGGAGTGCAGTGGTGCCATCTCAGCTCACTGCAACCTCCGCCTCCTGGGTTCAAGTGTTTCTCCTGCCTCAGTCTCCCAAGTAGCTGGAATTAAAAGCATCCACCACCACACCTGGATTATTTTTGCATTTTTAATAGAGATGGGTTTCACCATGTTGGCCAAGCTGGTCTCAAACTCCTGACCTCAAGTGATCCACCTGCCTCAGCCTCCCAATTTTTTGTTTTTAAGGCAGAGACTCACTCTGTTGCCCAGGCTGGAGTTCAGTGGCTCCATTTCAGCTCACTGAAACCTCTGTCTTCTGGGTTCAAGTGATTCTCCTGCCACAGCCTCCCAAGTAGCTGGAATTACAGACGTGTGCCACCACACCCGGTTAATTTTTATATTTTTATTAGAGACAGGGTTTCACCATGTTGGCCAGGCTGGTCTTAAACTGCTGGCCTCAAATGATCCACCTTTCTCAGACTCCCACAGTGCTGGGATTACCAACACTTGAGCCACTGCGCTTGGCCTGGATATACTTATTTAATAAGCTATAGGAAAAGTCACAAATATGTGAAAGGAGATGAGCATGAGCCCGGCCTGAATATACTTATTTAATAAGCTGTAGGAAAGTCACAAATATATGAAAGGAGAAATTCGCACATGTGCAGTTGAGCTTCATGCCAGTCCACTGGTCTCATGTTAAAAATATGGTGGCGGCCAGGCGCAGTGGCTCAAGCCTGTAATCCCAGCACTTTGGGAGGCTGAGGCGGGTGGATCACAAGGTCAAGAGATTGAGACCATCCTGGTCAACATGGTGAAACCCTGTCTCTACTAAAAATACAAAAAAATCAGCTGGGTGTGGTGGTGCGTGCCTGTAATCCCAGCTACTCAGGAGGCTGAGGCAGGAGAATTGCCTGAACCCAGGAGGTGGAGGTTGCGGTGAGCCGAGATCGCGCCATTGCACTCCAGCCTGGGTAACAAGAGCAAAACTCCATCTCAAAAAACAAAAACAAAAACAAAAATATGGTGGCATCAGCATCATCTAAGGGTGGAGTTTTCAGCCTTCTGTCTCAAAAGGTGAAGCAGGGAACACAAAAATCCTCAGTATGCATCCTCTTTAAACTTGCCAGAGCCCTTTCATGTTCCATGGTCTCTTGTCAGGAGGGAGAGCTGATTGGTTGTTTTGTCAAAACTGCAAAAGGAGGAACAGTCACAAAATGGGTGGAAATCAGTGGTGGAGCCAGTCTTTCCTAAGGGCTGGTTTCTGTTTAACCCTTAAGAAAGAAAGCCTAGGCCAGGAGCAGTGGCTCACATATGTAATCCCAGAAGCTTGGGAGGCTGAGGCACGTGGATCACCTGAGGTCAGGGGTTCAAGACCAGACTGGCCAACATGGCAAAACTCCATCTCAACTAAAAGTACAAAAATGGGCCGGGCGCAGTGGCTCAAGCCTGTAATCCCAGCACTTTGGGAGGCCGAGGCGGGTGGATCACGACGTCAAGAGATTGAGACCATCCTGGTCAACATGGTGAAACCCCGTCTCTACTAAAAATACAAAAAATTAGCTGGGCATGGGGCGTGCCTGTAATACCAGCTACTCAGGAGGCTGAGGCAGGAGAATTGCTTGAAGCCAGGAGGCAGAGGCTGCAGTGAGCCAACATCAAGCCACTGCACTCCACCCTGGGCAACAAGAACAAGACTCCATCTCAAAAAAAAAAAAAAAAAAAAGCAAGCAAGCAAGCAAGCCTAATGGCTGTTAGTGGTGGGTGAACGTTCAATCTTCTATGTCATCATGGCCAGGAGCTCAGTTTTCAAGGTTTCTCTGTGGTATCCTTTGCCAAGAGAGGGGTCTGTTCAGCTGTTTGGATGGCTCAGGATTTGATTTTTATTTCTTGCTCTTAAGGGGAACATCAACTTAGAGTGTCTTGTCTATGTGACTGAAATGTCTTCCAGTTGTCTTCAAGAAGAATGTTTTCATTTGAGCTTCCCTGAAAGCAGGGCCTGAGACAAATACGTGGGCTCAGGTAGTTTCTTCGGGAGTGAGTCCCAGGAAGCAGAAGTGAGGGAATAGAGGCATGAGACACTAAGTGGGAAAAACCGTGAGTTACTGAGCTTGCTGCCCCTGTGGACAAATGGGGCTCCATTGTGTTGAAGAGCTTCTAAGACACTTTTGGAATCCCTCAGAGATGTTTCAGGGAAGGACAGGGAGACTGGGACAGCCCATTTATTAATTTCTGTCTCCCATTGATTGTGGGTTTTGCTAGAGGCACTCTGGCACCCTGCACTTCCAAGTGTGCATGTGTAGGGGAGAGGTGGGCTGAGTTGCTTTGAGTGACTTCAGAGAAAGTCCAAATTGTGAGATGCCACAGCACGGCTTGAGGTGGGATGCTGGTTACTTGCACAGACTTGTCTTTCACAGCTGTGCTGAAATCTGGAGGCCAAGGAATGTGGTTGAGCTACCACAAGTGTCTGCTACAGATAAGAGAAAGTAAGTAGTCTAAGAGAAGTTATTATCCAATTATTTCTAATAGAGTTGAAGGAGTGTCATAGCTGTAGGGTCATGGTCTATACAGAGTGGTGGATGAGATGAGAACATGCTACCCCTAAATATGCCTCCTTGGCATAAAGATTACTTTGAACTGATTATTTTTAGACACTGTAGACACAAGAGAAGTTTTGAAAACATAAAAATTTCCCTTTTGTAAGGGAAACTTATACCTATAAAGAAAATCTCAGTTTGTGTGTCTCCCTCTCCGTACCAAGAAGGGAAAGATGATTAAATTACTAGAGACTCACCCACCTAAATCTGCATAATAAGCCTTACTCTTATTTACTGTGCTTTTTCTGGTCACCTATCCGTTACTGGCCTTCCCAACACCCTTCTTTCTTTGTTGCAGCAGAAGATGGTACAGAAGCCTGAATTCCAAGCCACCTCTTGGAGATTTGCTTATTTCTTTGGGTATCTCCTAGTATACATAAGGTATATATGTTATTAAACTTCTGTTGGCTTTTCTCTTATTAATGCGTCTTCTGTTACAGGGGTCCATCTCAAATAAGAACTCTGAAAATTAGAAAGAAAATTATTTTTCCTCCCCTACAGTTTAAAATGAAAGTTAAAGGCATTTTCTTGTCTTACACAGAAGAGGGAGAATGCTGTGATTTTTCATGATTAATGTTGAGTATCAAAATTGATGTCTTTCTGTAATGGCTGAAGTCTAATAAGCTATCCTGATTTGAAGAAAGCAGGTTTTCAGAAACACAGTGTCATATGTTCTGATCTTAAGCTCATTAAGTAACCACTGATCTGCAATTTGGTATCCCAGATGGACCTACCCTCAGGAAGCAAATGTCCTGTGCAAATGGCTATTTTTCAGATAAAATTCCCAAGATATGTAACAGCGTTGTAGGAAAACAGCCGAGCTCTTGTCATGCAATCTGGAAAATGTAGGCATGCAGATGCGTCGTAGGGTGACTAGGGCAGGGTTTATTGGGTGAAAAGATTTAAAAAAAGGGAACTCTCAGCAAAGCGAGAGAGAGTCCTGCCTGCAGGTCTCCTGCGTCACAGATTGAATCCCAGGTCACCACCCAGGAACTGAAGAGGGCAGGCTTTTCCGCGCTGCGCTGGGCTGCAAGCGGTGAGAACTTCCGAAAGCCCCACCCCGGTCCCACAAGTGCGCAGGTGGGCGTTATTCAGAATCAGTCGGGAAGGGGCGGGCCTCATCCCGGGTCAGCAGTGAGGTTTTTCAGCCTTCAGGCTGTTTTATGGTTGGAGGTGGGATTTCACTGTGGATCCTTGGCTGACTCCTGTCTCTATCAATAGCATATTGGAATGCAAGGTGGAGGCAGCCTCTTGGAGACTTATTATCATGTATCAAATTCTTATCCCACAGAAAATCAAAGAGTTGTAATTTGTAGGGTTATTAGGGTAATTGCATCTGAGATTTTGAATAATCATCAACAGTCACCTAATCTGCATCCCTTACTTTATAAAAGGGCTAATAGGCATTAATAATTTACCTCACATCAAATAGTTTGTGAAAAGACAGCTGGAACTCTTCAGACTGGAATTCATTTCAATACTCTGCAATGGCATCAAAGATAACATGCGTTTGTCAATTTGCTTAATCAGTATTTCATTTTTGTACCATGCAGGGTCATTGTTTAAGTACACAGTGATATACTTCCTGACCTTTTGAATTTTAAATCACTGGGCTTAGTGAAATCTTGAATGCAAGCATTTGGAGTGTTTTGAATAACAAAAGCCAAAACCAGTACAGGTAAATGACAAGCATCATTCCCAAAGAATGTCTGAACAGCCGGCTGAATAAATTCGGCCAAAGTCGACTCACTCTTTTCACTTGTCTGTGGAATCTCTCTTCCTAGAAGTGAGAGACTCCCTTGAGGGAAAGAGGATAACAGGTAAGCATATTCACCATTCGCCACCTCTAGAAAGAAAACGCTGCGTATTTATTCATATGTATGATATATGACACACAACCAAACTTTTTTTTTTTTTTTGAGACAGGGTCGCTCTTTGTTACCCAGGCTGGAATGCACTGGTGCAATCACAGCTCATGGCTCATAGCCCACCTCTTGGTCTCAGGGGATCCTCCCACCTCAGCCTTCTAGTAGCTGGGACCATAGTGCACACTACCACACCTGGCTAATTTTTAAATTTTTGGTAGAGATGGGGGTCCCACTATGTTGTCCAGGCTGGCCTTGAATTACCAGCCTCAAGCAATCCTCTGGCCTTGGCTTCCCAAAGTGCTGGGATGACAGTTGTGAGCCACTGCACCCAGCCACAAGTAAACTTTTGAATCCAAGGAGATACATGGTGCAGGGTCCAGACTGCTGTGACCATCTGATGTCAGGGCAAGCCTGGCACTTCACTGTCAAAGACATTTCTAAAACATGGGCTGGGCTCAGTGGCTCACGCCTGTAATCCCAGCACTTTGGGAAGCAGAGGCGGGCAGACCACTTGAGGTCCAGAGTTCAAGACCAGCTTGGCTAACATGGTGAAACCCTGTCTCTACTAAAAATACAAAAATTAGGCTGGCATAGTGGCAGACTCCTGTAAACCCAGCTACTAAGGAGGCTGAGGTAGGGAAAACACTTGAACTTGGGAGGCAGAGGTTGCAGTGAGCTGAGGTCGTGCCACTGCTCTCCAGCCTGGGTGACACAGTGAAAAACTGTCCCAATAAACAAACAAGAAAGAGAGAGAGAGAGAGAGACAGAGAGAGAGAGAGAGAGACAGAGAGAGAGAGAGAGAAGGAGGGAAATTTCTGAAACAAAAGAACCCAACAGCCACTGAAATTGGATTTAATATACGTGCTTTGTGACTTTGGTTTTATACCTTTGTTCCTGGGGACTTGGAATTTCCATTGTTATCTCCAGTTTGGAACCGGCTATAAGCCAGTGTCTCCCAGTGGCTCTCCAAGGGCATTTCCTTGTCTGTTTGGGAAGGAGATAGAACCTCATTTTCCTTTCTACATTCCCTATGAGCCATTCATAGTCCTTGAAATCATATTTCCCAGGAATCACAAATGAACCAATCTAGACTCAGTGGAGATGATAGACTTTCTTGAGATCCTTTGGATCTCCTAGGTCCAAGGATTGGTATTTGTGGTAGTGGGTGATGTCCAAGAGTGAAAGAGACCTGTTACTGTATTCAGAACACTGAGAGTTTATTCTGTCCTTAACTTGAAGGAAAAATGTCAACATTTTTCCCCGGACTTGCTCTTGGACTTGCTCCTGGTGGATGCCCTTTTCTAGCCACTTGAAAGAAATGAATGAGAGACCCAGGGCATACGGACTGGGGAAGGAGTAGAGATTGATGTCAGCTCTTTCCTGGAAAGAGTAACAGAAACTACAGGGCATGATGTATTGAAATAATCAGAGTGAAAATGCTTGTATATGCTAATCTATGTTTTTTTTTTTTTGAGACAGGGTCTCCCTCTGTTGCCCAGGCTGGAGTGCAGTGGCGCAATCTTGGCTCACTGCAACATGTGCCTCTGGGTTCATGTGATTCTCCCACCTTAGCCTCCTGAGTAATTGGGTTTACAGGCATGCACCACCATGCCCGGCTAATTTTTTTTTGTTTTATTTATTTATTTTATTTTTAGTGGAGATGGGATTTCACCATATTGGTCAGGCTGGTCTGGAACTCCCAACCTCAGGTGATCCGCCCACCTTGACCTCCCAAAGTGTTGGGATTACAGGTGTGAGCCACAGCGCACAGCCTAATCTTATAATTTCAAATATTATTTTAATATTTAATGTTCATTAATATCTCTTATTTATTGAATGAAAACGATGCGATGGGTTAGATAAGTGCTAGAATTAGTGCTCTATAGTAAACTCTAAAAAAACTCTTTCATTGTGGAAAATGTCAAACCTATTTAAAGGGAGTGAGAATAGCATAATGAACCGGGGTACCCATCTAATCCTGCTCCAACAATTATACAATATCAATTCATAGCCATTTTTATTTGATCTGTGTCTCTCTCTATCCCTCCTCAAATTATTTTGAAGCAAATACTGGACATATTTAGATTTACCTTTAATCCTTCTCTTTTTTTTTTTGAGATACAGAGTCTCCCTCTGTTGCCCAGGCTGGAGGACAGTGGCACAATCATGCATTATTCACTGCAGAGTTGAATTCCTGGCCTCAAGCAGTCTTCCTACCTTGACCTCCCAAAGTGCTGGGGTTACTGGCGTGAGCCGCTGTAGTTAGCCTAGATTTACCTTGAATAGTTTTTGATAAGTTGTCTTTTAAGTGTAATTTTAACAAAATAATCATACCTAAAATTTACTAATTTCTTGGTATCATTTACCATCCACTGTATGATTCAATTTTACTGATTCGTTTGTAACTGACCCCAGAGTTGGTTTGTTTGAATCACTATAACTGGGCCCCTATTATAACGATCATAAGATGCTTGTTTTACCCACTTTCCCTTTCCCCATGTCCTTTTCTTTCTCTATGCATGCTTGCTTGTATGTCATTATTTCAGTAGAGGGTAGTCACTAATCATTGATTAACTTAATATCCTAACCCACAGGGCTGCCTGTCAGATTGATGAACTTGTTTTTCTTTTAAAGAACCAGGATCCTTAGGGTATGTAGACCTCCTTGATGGTGACCAGAAGTTGTAGAGGGACACAAAACAGCTTTGATCACTGGGGGAATTTCATCTCCCACATACCCATCTTTCTCATAAGAGTCCCCAGTTATATTCAAAGGCAGGGCAGATTTGAGAGACTGTCTCTCCTGCCCTCTTGCTTTGGTCAAATCAAATAAACCTTTCTCTGTTCCTGAGTGCTGATGTGTGTGGCTTACTGTGTGTCAAGTGCACAGACCTAAATTTGGAGATTCTGTAACATCAAGACCCATATGAGGCTCACATATTGCATTAGGCTGATGACTCATATATCTCTCTTTTAATGTGGGACCATTTCCAATCTCTTTCTCTCTCTCCTCCATTTTTTTTGGGCAATTTTTTTGTTGTTGTTAATAGTCTTGTTTCAAAGTGAAGTACTGTCATTTAAGTTTATACATCAATGTTATCATTATTTGTTTATTTGCCACAGAATTTTATGCCAAGGCAGTCATCCGATTGCCCACCTGACCTGCTTTTCCACCATCAGTTTTACCTGGTGTGTCCCTGGATCAGCAGGAAGCACTGATTGAGAATCTTTTCCTCTTAATCTGCCTATTTTCTAATGTAGTTACCAATCAAACTTAGTAGTAACCCACTTACTTTGTGTATAGGCAAAAGCAACTATGAATACACAAGTTTCCCACAGTGGGTAAATGTGTGGACCTGAGTCTGGAACCGATGACACTTGCTGGCTGTGCCCGCTTGGGCACACTAATTAATTGCTCTCACTCTTAGTTCCCTCAACCCTCAAGTGCATGTGATTATATTCACTACCTGATGTAGTTTTGCCCCGTGTCCTCACCCCTCTCATCTTGTAGCTC